TTGATAGTATTTGTTTTTTAAATTTTTAATATTTTTAAAATATTTTAAAAATAACATACTGTAATTTAACGGGAAAAGTAACTTTACACGAGAATGGCCATATTGTGTCAGACCAACGATCCATAAAGCCCAATATCCTGACTTCTGATAGTGGCCAGTGCTAGATGCCCCACAGGGAAGGAACAAAACTTTATCATTGTATAATAATGTACACATAGGAATACGTATCTGAAAAGGATCAATGTATTACTGTGCACTATTTTTCTTTTCCAGAAATGTTTTTGACGTGTTTGTATTTTGATATTGTTGATATAATAGTTTTGTTCCATTATGATCAAGTATCTTTTGTACTTCATAAGTATAATTGGGTTGATTTTCAGTGGTTTTGAGCAATTCCTTTGAACTCATACTTTGTCCCAGATCCTCAAAAGTGTTCATTGGGAGTTAGATACCTAAATACTTTTGAGGATCAGGGCCTTTTAGTCTTATTCCTGCAAAAGCCTTCATGCCTACTTAACTTTGTCCACTGGAAAAAACCTAGAAATCTGGTAGCACCTTAAAGACAAACAATTTTATTATGGGCATAAGCTTTTGTGAGCTGCAACTCATTTATCAGATGCATTTAGTAAAAGAAACAGTTAATAGGGATATAGAGATGGGAGTGTTATATCAGAGCTAATTCATTATTCAAACGTTCAGTCGTATTCATTACTAGAAGATTTACCTGGCCTTAACTCAATTAATTGTCATTGGAAAATAAAATGAAAATGTAAATGCTTCATTTGAATCATTGCTTGGGGGGCGGAGGGGCAGAGGAGATTGAGGGGTTCAGTATGCAGTCTGTCCCAGAGCAGTGTTTCTCAACCAGTGGAACAAGTACTCTTAGGGGTACTCAAGAGAAGTCTGGGGGGTACGTCAACAACTGAAATTTGGAGAAAACTGAATTTTTGTTTAAAGTTTTACAGGGCTTTATTCTTTTTGTAGTTTTTTCACCCAAAAATGTCATCGTCCGCCCAGCTACGATTAAGTTGTTTAAACAAATGTGTTGTAATGGTAGAAAAAATTGTGTGGGTCTGAAAACTATAAGTACTGGGGGTACTTGTGTGTGTGTGTGTATATATATATATATATATATATATTTTAAGGGGTACCTTATTAAAAAAAGGTTGAGAAACACTGTCGCAGGGAGAGAGGACTACCCATCCTCTCTCACCTCAGCAGCTTGGAGCAAGGTGAGAAGCGCCTCTCCATGGGTGCTGCAGTTCCAGGGGCGCATGGCCCTGGCTGGGGCAGATCCAGGTTCATCTGCCCCCTGCACTCCCCAGCCAGGATGAGGAATGCAGCAAACTATATTTTCCCCTTGCTCCCTACCAAAGGAGAACAGCCAGCAATGTTCTTGTACAAATTAGGGGGGAGCTTAGCTACCCTGAACTCTCTAAAGAGTGCCTAGGGGTGGGAGGCTTGGGCAGTACCGGATGGAGGAGGGGCGGCGCACTGTCTCTTTTCTATGTGGCTTTTTTGTGACGCAACCCCAGTCTAGGCACATCCCATTTTCCTGGCACAGTAAAATCCTTACTTTACTTTAAGTTAGAAGAGGAAGCTATATTATGTATTTGGTGGTCGTTGCACTTACCTTTTAGGATGAGTTCTTGGACAGAAAGACAAACACATGAAACTCTCTCAACTATATAGGGGTATGTCTCCACTACCCCGCTAGTTCGAACTAGCGGGGGTAATGTAGTCATCCGCACTTGCAAATGAAGCCCGGGATTTGAATTTCCCGGGCTTCATTTGCATGAAGCCGGCCGGCGCCATTTTTAAATGCCGGCTAGTTCGGACTCCGTGCCGCGCGGCTACACGCGGCACGGAGTCCGCACTAGCCGGCATTTAAAAATGGCGCCGGCCGGCTTCATGCAAATGAAGCCCGGGAAATTCAAATCCCGGGCTTCATTTGCAAGTGCGGATGACTACATTACCCCCGCTAGTTCGAACTAGCGGGGTAGTGGAGACATACCCTAGTAGATTAGCTCTGATGTAACACTTCCATCTCTGTATCTCTACTATCTTTTTTCTTTCACTTCATACATCTGATGAAGTGAGTTGCAACTCACAAAAGCTTATGCCATAATAAAACAATTAGGCTATGTCTACACTGCAGGTTTCTTGAGCAAGAACTTTTTGCGCAAGAGTTCTTGCGCAAGAGCGAGTCCACATTGCCATGTGCAAGAGATATGCTTCTGCGCTAGAGCATCGATGGCAGTGTGGACACTCTCTTGCGCAAGAAAGCTCTGATGGCCATTTTAGCCATAGGGGTTTCTTGTGTAAGAAACCCCCTTTCCCCATCCACGCTATCCTTTTTGCGCAAGAGCTCTTGCTCAAAAAGTCTTATTCCTCGTGGGGAGAGGAATAACTCTGGTGCAAAAAGCCCTTTCTTCTGACAATCTACAGTAAACTTTCTTGCGCAAGAACGGGCTTGTAGTGTAGACGCGCTGCAAGTTTTTGCACAAGAATGGCTGTTCTTGCGCAAGAAACCTGCAGCGTAGACATAGCCTTAGTCTTTAAGATACCATTGGAATCCATGTTATTTTTACTGAAACAGACTAATCTAGCTACTTCTGAAATCTTTGTGCACTGAGTAAATCCTATAGAAGTCAATGAAGCTATATAATGCTATGTAAGCACACAAATCTTGGCAGGACACCTTTCCATTTCAATAGTGGATACTCAGCACCTCGGACAATCAGGTGCAATGTGTTTCAGAAAAATGGATGGACTGTTCAATTCCATTTAAATTATCTAATGTCTGGAGCATTCTCAATTGTTTCATAATGTACATTTCCAGTGAGGGGGATTGCTTACTGTTTTGTATAAACATTTACAACACTGTGTAATTGAAGAACTGAGAACTCTTGTTAAAAATAAGTGTAAAGGTCTAACATTTATTTGATGTTCACCACACTGCCTGAAAGCTGAATAGTGCTAGGTGATAACTAGCAGCTAATTTGTGTGACTGAAGCAGATGGCTTAGTTCTGGAACAGAAGTAGCACACAGCTGTTCGATTCCCTCTCCCCCCCAGTATCTTTCCTAGCAGTACCAAGCAGGAGTAGTATCCAGCTACCTTTGCTGGATTGTGTCAAACTCCAGCCCTTGCTGCTGACTGTGTAGTCAAGGGTGGACTCTTGGGTAAGTTTTGCTGCAAAGCTAGGTGTGGAACAATGCAAGTTTACAGTATACTAAAATCAAGGACTTCACTGAACTGAACAAAGCCTATCTCAAGTATTATTTCCACTTAGTCCACTGCCACACTTGTATCCAGCAGGATGTTCCTAGAGCCTCTGAGTACTACTGGCTGAGCCTGGAAAGTGAAATAATCTACAAGGCTAGAGAGCCCGAATCCTGGCTTGTTTAACATTAACATTTAAACAGCCAAACCACTACAGTCTTTTCCCCCGGGAAATGAGACTGTCCTAAGACTCAGCTCATGGAGCTTTCTTCAAACTATCCCTGTGAGGAAGGTCTCAGGAGGATCACAAAGGAGGTGAGAGTGTACTACAACAACCCTGTGGATCTGCTCCTTCTGACCACGCATCCAAGCAAAATCACTGTTGCTCCAGACCCCATGCCGGTATTGCGTCAAGAGGCAGGTAGGCACAAGCAGGAAGGCAATCATGGAGTAAGTAGACACTCCCATAGATCCAGCAAAGCCCAGTTCCCACTGTGAATTGAATGGGCATCTGCAGGAAGCAACAATGCAGGTCAGTAACTGGCACTGTATGCAAATGAACTCTTTTCCCCTCATTTGCCTGCTCATTCACCTATTGCTTGTATTTCCACGTTCTCCATTCCCAATACACCCAAAGCCTATGTGCTCCCAGAACTAGAAAAGTCAATTAAGCACCTGTATCTTTTTTCTACCTACCACTTTCCCCTCATGGCGGAACTACAGCAAACTCTCTGGAGTTTCTTCCATTCACTTAGTATTAATCATAATGTACTATAAAAGCCAGGAAGGCAATAAAGCCTCAATCCAGTGCAAACCCTACAGTTAAGGATACAATCTAATTTGATTAGCCTGCAGGGCAAGTGGAGACCCTCGGGTGTCACTATTAGATTTCAGTTCCATGTCACCCATTCAAATCTAACCCAGGTGAACAATGAAAGCTGTTACCAGCCAAAGGCTGGTCAGGGGTCTCTACGAAATAAGTCACTGAATTCAGGCAGTTAGGAAGGAAGGCATGCATCCATCCTACCTAAAAAACACCCTGTTGGCTGGCTCCACGGCTTGAATGGGCTTATAATAGCTCAATTTGTGTAGCTTATTTCGAGTTAAATCCTGCAGTATAGACGCACCCTGAGAGTAGTAATGCTATGTCAATTGCATAGCTTATTTTAAAATAGCTTATTTCAAAATTGGGAGTGTTTACACAGCACTTATTTTGAAATAGAGCACTCTTCCTTCGACTGCCCTTATTCCTCGTACAATGAGGGTTACAGGAGTCGGAGTAAGAAGTAGTCTAGCTTGACGGTATTTTGACATTATTTTGAAATAACTGCCTGTTTAGATTTGGACTAAGTTGTTTTGAAATAACGCTAATTATTTTGAACTAATGTTGCTGTGTAGATGTACCCTCAGTGCTCAAGATAAAGGTCTTCCAAGTCAGTCACTTCACATCATATCTGCCACAGGAGTTGGTTATGTTAAAATGGGGAAAGCAGTTAAGTTTTATCTTAATAGCTAGGGCTCTACATGCATTTTAGAAAAGGATCTGAAGAGAAAAATAAAAGCGGAGACTGTTATATCAAAAGATGTTATAACAAATGCTGCCTAGCTTGCCTTGATCCACCAAACAGGAGACCTTTCTAAGGTTAGAGACCCAGAACCTGGGTAGAGGTGAAAAAGAGAACAAGTGTAACCAAACAGCCCTCTGTCAAATCTCAACTCCCTCTTCCCTTCCTTTTTTCCCAGTTGCTCTAATTTAGTAAATCAAAAGTTACCTAGTTCAGAAGTTTAATCAAACATGAAACTGCCTGTTTGCTGATTAGGGTGCCATCTGGAGGTCATTTACCAGTTTTATCTTATATTTGTAAACATGGACAGAGAAGGAAGCCTCGTTTTTACTGTTCAGGCTAATGGAAAACAAAATATACATAATATTTACAAAATGAAAGCTATGAGAATAGCTCAAAATCCATGTGCTTGGCAGAAAGAGAGTCAGTTTGCAGGCCCACACAGTGAGGAGTATACCACGATGTTTAGGAGCCCAAAAAGTCTAACTTTTTTTGTACATCCTTTTCCACACTGGTGACTTTAGGTAAATCGACGTTTGCTGGGCTCTGGTACTGACAGTGTCATCATGTCAACTTTACTGGAGAACTCAGCCTCAAGAGCATTCTAGTGGGAGAAAGAAGCAAGAGAAGTCAGTGACAAGACAAATAACTTTCATATTTATTAGCCAAATATGTCTCTAATGGTCACCTCTACTAGATATCATTTTATGTGTTAACTCAGCTGACTGAAAGAGCATAATTGATGGGGAATATTTATCAGCAGTTGGTACAAGACACAGTTCAGAATAGGTGACAGCATGTAGCAGCTCATGAATTGAGAAAAATGAGTCATCATAAAGAGCCAAAAGTTAGCATTACTAATCCTAATGATACCCCAAAAAAAGAAGTGGGCTGTGCCCACGAAAGCTCATGATACCATCTACATGTTTTGTTAGTCTGTAAAGTGCTACTAGACTATTTGTTGTTTTTAAGTTTTTCCTGTTACAGACTAACTCAGCTACCCCTCTGAAGCTTTTAAAAAATTTTAGAGAATTCTTAAAATTATGACAATGTTGCTTTGTTCCTAGGACAATCTCTAAATATCAAACACTAATAAAGGATCCACTGTTTATGGATTTGTAACAAGCCATCTAGAGAGCTTATCACCAACCAGCTTAAAGGCTCAATCACAGTTACTTCCCAGCTGACACCACTGATCCATGCTGTGTGATCCTCCTGGTCTTTGGAATGCAACATTTTTAGAAGCAGCTGGCTGAAGGGGCTGAATGGAGCATCCTGGCCATGGCAATCTCTTACAATGTGATGCACAGAACAGGAACGTGGGAGAGCTTTAAAGTCTTGTTTTACTGAGATCCACACACAAATTCCACATGTATGCAGAAAAACAGAAAAATGCTAGCTGGTGGTGGGCTTCCATCATGCTATGAAGGGTTACTAGTCACAGACAGCATGCCAAAGCAAAGTATTAAGGTGAAAAACTTCTTGCCCAAGAAAGCCCTATCAATGATGAAGTGGGATCAAATTAATCAAATAAGTGTCTAATCATTGATCCTAGTGGTACTGTCCAGGTAGAAGGAGGTCTCCTAACTGCAATCCTCAATATTTAGGACTTTAATGATTACCAACACCTTCAACTGCATCTAGAAGCAAATAGGAACCTAATGCAAAAATGTAAGCACAAGTTTTATGAACACACTGGTCCATGACAGTCAGGAGCGCAGCTGCAGTCCCATGTGGACTTCAAAGGCCGTACAGAACTTAACAGCAAACAAGCCAGCAGAAGACAAATGCAAGGATAACCATTTACAGTCTATTTTATAGAGAAATGGTCACACTTCTGTCCAGCTGCCAATTAAAAAATGCTACAACTACCCTCTGAGACTCCAGGATCAGCAATGAATCCTAGAGGGCCTCAAGACAGCAAACCATTTTAGCAACAAGCACTCTCAAAAGTTGGTGCAAACTGAAAACACTTTTGCCCACTTCCTCAAAGGTATTTAAGGACTAAATTCCATTGATTGCAATGAGAATAAGGAATTCTGGTGTTTAGGTTGATTTTTTAGAAAGTGACAGTCTTGATTTAAATCTCAGAAAGCAATAAAGACACATACCAGTTCCCGCTTTGCTTCTTCAATCTTCACTCGAGCAAGGGAGGGATTCTAGAAGAACAATTGCATATTAGCTGCAAGTAGAGACAGTTCTATTTCAGTATGAAACACAGGATTTATCCTAGCCCAAAGATTTCAATTAAGGGCAGGAGAGGAATTGGGGCTAAGCAAATGTATTCCCCACAGGTGCAAAAAGTCCTGCAATTAAAGACAGAGACAAAATCTAAATGAAGTGGATTTTGAAGGAGCTTTTACAAGGCCTAATGTTCAAAGAAACATTTCCATGAAATTCACAAAACTGTTGATCAAGAGAGCCTGGCTTTAAACATTCCCAGCAGAGTTTGCAGCCTAGACACGGAATAGGAAAGTCCACATGGGCACACAGCTTGCTTGAAGGAACACTCCTCTCCCACTCTGAGCATCTCAGGCACTCAGCCAGTGATGAGAAATGCATAAAGGCTAAGAGGCAGGAGAGATCAAGCCTCTCTCTCCACTGAAACCAAGACAGGGAGAACTGGAAGAATAAAAGCCAATTTTGGGGTTTTGAATTCCTTGAGAACACCAAGCAAACTGCCTTTGGGCACTGTTACAGAGACAGGCCCCACCCCTTCCCTAAGACAGGCACATAGCTGGAAGCTTTCTGGTTTTGTAGCAGGGGTAACAATGGCCAGCTAAGGTGAGGGAATCAGGCCTGCAGCAAGGATGTGTGTAGTGGGGGAAACTCACTGCAAGGAGTGAGTTGAAGACAGACGGCTGGTCTAGTGATTAGGGCATTAGCCTAGAACCTGAGACTTGGATTCAGTTCCCTGTTCTGGCATTAACTCCACATGTGACCTCTGGCAAGTCATTTAATTTCTTTGTGCATTAGTTCCCCAGCTGGGATAGGAAATGATAGCACTTTCCTACCTCCCGGGGTGCTGAGAGGATTAATACATTAAAGATTGTGAGGCGTCCAGACTCTACAGTAATTGCAGTCACAAATACAAAAGACAGAATTGTGAATCTCTCAATATAAGTTCATTTAATAAATCACAGTGCTACCCTGAATTGTTTCAGAATCTTCCCTGTGTCCAAGAGGAAGAATCTGTCCCATCTGATTTAAGAAGAAAAAAAAATGATTTTTTTATTTCATCCACTTCCATAAGAGCTGTGCAAGTGCTGCTGTTAGACTGTCCCCAAAACAATACATAAAGGTGACCTGTCTACCTCATGCAAAGTCACTGTTTACATACCTCTCACTTGGCGGATTAATACACTACTGTTGGCTCTAATCTCCTTAATAGAGTTTTCCTTAACTGAAATGGGTTTTTGTAATATGGATTTCTCCTTGTTTCAGAATACTGAATTCCTTTAAATCAAGGATTACTTTATGTAGCAGTTTGCTTAGAGCTCCCAATACAACTAACTGGTAGTAACAGCAATCAAGTTAAAAAGTATTGGTGATGTGTACCAGCAGATTCAAAGTTTGATTTATATACCTTTTACAATTATTGATACACTTTTGGAAAAGAACTCGATGCCAGAAATTTTTGTTTTCCTCTCTACTTTTCCAAGTAATTCACTGATTCTTAGCTTACACAGTTTATTTGGGTTCGAATCCACTTAAGTGTGCAGCAGCAGTCAAAAAAGCAAATAGAATGTTAGAAATCATTAAAAAAAGGGATAGTGAATAAGACAGATAATATCTTATTGCCTCTAAATAAAACTATGGTACGCCCACATCTTGAATACTGCATACAGATATGGTCGCCTCATCTCCAAAAAGATATATTGGCATTGGAAAAGGTTCAGAAAAGGGCAACAACAATTATTAGGGATTTGGAATGGATCCCATATGAAGAGAGATTAAAAAGACTTGGACTTTTAAGCTTACAAAAGAGGAGACTAAGGGGGGATATGATAGAGGTCTATAAAATCATGACTGGTGTGGAGAAAGGGAATAAGGAAAAGTTATTTACTTATTCCCACAATATAAGAACTAGGGGGTCACTAAATGAAATTAACAGGCAGCAGGTTTAAAGCAAACAAAAGGGAGTTTTTCTTACTCATTACATAGTCAGCCTATGGAACTCCTTGCCAGAGGATGTGGTGAAGACTAGGACTTTAACAGGGTTCAAAAGAGAGCTAGATAAATTCATGGAGGCTAGGTCCATCAATGGCTATTGCCCAGGATGGGTAGGAATGGTGTCCCTAGCCTCTGTTTGTCTGGAAATAGGTGACAGGAGAGGGATCACGTGAGGATTACCTGTTGTGTTCCCTCCCTCTGGGGCATTTGGTATTGGCCATTGTCAGCAGACAGGATAATGGGCTAGATGGACCTTTGGTATGACCCAGTATGGCTCTTCTTATGATTCCCATGTATTATGGTTGGAGAAAGCAAAATCTATCTACCAAAACTATTTAATCAGCCTTCTTTTAAGCAAAATCCTTCTTCTGGACAATTCATTAAGGACAGACATAGTGATTTGGAAACAGGACAACTACAATGGAGCTTGTCAACTTCACTGCAACACTATTTATTTACATTTTGATGTCTATATTTTATAATAAAGAAAGATATATTTCAGCTACAAACACAACCTCCACCCCGAAATTAAATTGACAGTGGAAGTATAGCACCTAAAGAGAAAGCTGTTCAATTTTCTTTTATTTACATACACAGAAACTCTTAGGATACCAGAAGATAATTTAATATTAGTAGAAATAGTTACAGGAGTTAAGTCCAAGTAGGATTCCAATTTCTTCTTCAAAGGCATAGTCTGTTGCTTTAGTTCAGACAGTTTCTATAAAAAAAGCAAATCACCAGGTTATATATTATATTTGCAACCTAATTGGGTATAAGTGATGAAAGTCTGTATAAGTTTTAAGAAAATTCATTGCTGCTGTCATTCTGATTAAGAATCTACAATTCTTCCCAAGATTTAATATTCCAACAACTGTATGTAGTCAAATCCAGCTGAAGTTTTTTATCGAAGTAAAAATGCAATTTTACTTATCCTTATAAAACATAAAATATACTTTCAAGCAGTATTACTATCGGATGCCTCTCTGCTAGTCTGGGTAAAAGGAGGTAGTAATCTCAATCTAGAACCCACTGGACAGATGTCCACATCACATAAAAACACCACTGCAATGGGCATTACCTGAGGCTCTTGTTGGCAATCAATACAGGCCAAGCCAGAATTGGTCACAAAGAATGAGTTATACACTAATACTAAAGGTTGCCCAGCCACAACAGGGCTGAGTCACATAAGTAAGGCAGTGTTGGGAACCTTCCACCACCACTTTTAGTAATGTACCCATTCTGTGGACAAAGAGAAGAGATAACTCTCGACGGCTTCTGATCCAATAATTTTCACTAGCACTAATTCCATTTTAAAATCAGAGATAAACCTACAATGCATTAGAGGGATGTCAATGGTTAGTCAGTTAACCGGAGGCCCCGCTGGGATGGGGCACACCCCACCTAACATAGGCAGAGAGCTGTTCAAATCTGGCTGGGCCCACTGCGCCATGAATGGGGGACACTTCAGCCCAGCCAGAGTATCCGCCACCCGTGCCAAGCCTGGCCTGGACAGAGCAGGCCCTGCCTGCACTGGGCCTGGACAGAGCAGCCCACCACAAGCAGGGGAACTGTTCCAGCCCAGCTAGCCCACTGTGCCATGCTGTGCACAGGAGGTCACACCAGCCCTGGGGGGAACAGCCTGTTTAAGGAGTTAACCGGTTAAACATAATGTTTAACTGATTAAATGGGATTTTACACCCCTAATACATTATGATACAATAATTCATCCCCTTCACTCCAAACTCCATCGCTCTGCAAAACAGATAAAAGAACACTGCCTAGTCAAACTTGTCCCTATATTTAGGATCCATGAGAAAACAAAGGTTTTACAAAACCAAGACCTACATGGAAGTTTCTATGAATTTTTTAAATTTAAGATTCTAATGGGAACATTTTTCAACCAGCATTTTCCCTGCAGTATTTTTCAATCCAAATATTGTCAAACAATGCTAGTTCATGACATCTACAAAGTGAAACTGACTAGGCTACTATACAAACTAATTAAATAAGCAAAAAATAAAACATAAATGGCAAACACATTATATGTTTGCAATGCTCTCTGTTACAGTAATACAGGGTGATATTTGTTTTGTGAGAGCAGAAAGAACAGGCTCAGACAGACACCATGTGCTGCAGCAAATTGCTGGAGCAGTCACATTTAGAAAAAACAGGAAATATGTTTTTTTTTTAAATGAAAGTATTGCAACAGTGCCCCTTTAAGAAATGACACTACGACTGTCTTACAGTATTCACTAATATATTAAAAAATGTTATTTACATAAAACTGGAGGTGGCCTCAACATGTAAAATTTGGATCAAAGATTGGATTTTGGATGTGGGATGTTGGTTTGGGCCTATCTAGAACATAAATATATGCTCAAGTGGATGTTATTTCCTTAAATATTCAAATATTGATTTGCATTCACAACTTCATATATATCCCTCTTATCACCACATACTCACCTCCGAGAGACTCACTAATGACTGATGTGTCAAGGAAGGGTCCATCCCACTTGCAGAAAGTTGCTCCTACAAGGGGAAGACAGTTCACAGTTTGTACAGTACATATTGCTCCTCTACGGAAACAAGACATACAGTACATTACTCAAAGTAAAACTTGACACAGGGATATTTTGATGTTTACTTGTATTTGCACATAAGCAGATAAAAAAAGAAAAAAATGTAGGGACAGCAGGAATAACTGTGGAGTCAGTGGCTAATGAGACATACATAAATAGCATTATGCCTACTAGAACACCAGCATGACTATTTTTGCAGATATAGACACATTTTGTATCTATAACTATGCAAATCTGTGGATATCTGCAGGTATCTGCATCTGCAAATGTGGATATCTGTGGATTACTTTTGCAGATGCAGATACCAGTTTTGAGTCTGCACAGAGCTCTTCAAATATGTGAAAAATAATTCCAACTATGATCCATGCCTCTATATTTTTAAATTTATGAAGATTCCCCATAACAAGGAACACTGGAAAAAACAGCTATTTCTGAATAAGAGCAATGGAGGACCTGCATTTACTTACCTGTAATAGTTGCTTAGTGTTCCAGTCCTATAAACACTTAGTGTATGTCTAGACTACATGCCTCTGCCAACAGAGGCATGTAAAATAGGCTACCCGAAATAGTCAATGAAGCGGGGATTTAAATATCCCTGGCTTCATTAAAATAAAAATGGCTGCCACGTTATGCCGGGTCAGCTGATCATCGGCACAGCATACGAGTGAAGATGTGGATCAGTTGACAAGGGAAGCCTTTGTTGACCGCTCCTGTAAACCTCATTTCACAAGGCATAAGGGAGCAGTCGACAAAGGCTTCCCTTGTCGACCGATCCGCGTCTTGACTCGCACGCTGTGCCAACGATCAGCTGAGCCAGCACAGCACAGAGGCCATTTTTATTTTAATGAAGCCAGGGATATTTAAATCCCCGCTTCATTGACTATATCGGGTACCCAATTTTACATGCCTCTGTCAGCAGAGGCATGTAGTCTAGACATACCCTTAAAACCCATGTATAAATCTGACTTTAATGGGACAATTCATGTGAGTAAAAAATTACAGGCTTTCTTATGTATTTGCATTTCTCCTCCCAGTGCACAACTAAGGCATTTTTGGCAGAGCAGTCATAGTGTTCATGCCAATCATTAATTTTAATAAAGTCAATTTAATAAAGCCACATCCTCACTTCTGTTGTGAAATTAACTGAAAATGTATGTAAAAAAAATCACAGCCTTACACATGACTAGCAGGAACCTCCCTAACTTTAAAATATTGGGGCAATTACTTACCAACCCACTCCAGCAAGAGACGAATTCAACCCCATCACCTCCGTTACCTTTTAAGCAAATGGAGCTAAACATCACAGCATCCATCCACATATCCCCAGCTACGCAGAAAAGGCAACTGTGAGATCAATTACAAATGATACCCTTCAGAGACCAACCATTCTTTATTTCCAAGTGTCAGATGTAATAGATTTCCCCTCTTGGAGGCTAAAAACCTCCAAAGATGTCTCTAACTAGTAGTGAAACCATACATTTTGGGAGCCAATTTGACACGATCATATCTTCCTTTAATAATACTGGAAGAAGACTTATCACCAACCTCTGCAGCCTTGATCCTGAATTTGAAGTCCTCAGATTTATCCTTCAAGAATGTCATGTTCTGGGCCCGGCTATCAGCTTTGGCTTTTTCCATTGCCAGATGTTCTTCTGTTTTTTTAATGTCCCTTTAAGAAAAAAATTGTGTTGAATATATGTGGCTTACAAACCTTCAAGCAAATTCACATTCTCAAGTAAACATCCACAAGAAGGAAAAAGTGATGCAGAAAACTGAATTTCACTCACAGTCTCTACCAGCTCAATCTTTTGGTGGGATGAGATATCCATGTGCAGATACCCCACAGATTTACACAACTCTGGGATAGTAGGACATCTTCATGAAAAACCAGAACATGTGTACAACAATTAATACTAATAACCTGGTGGGTCATTATACTAGGTTAAAAGTCTCAGAGGGGTAGCCATGTTAGTCTGTAACTTTAAAAACGAGTAGTCCTGTGGCACCTTAGAGACCAACAAAAAATATATATTTAGTATCATGAGCTTTCATAGGCAAAACCACTTCTAGCTAGGAATGTGACTGTCTAGTTGACTATCCGATAAGCAACTGCTCAGAACCACCAGCTGACCCTGGGGCTCCATGAGGCCGTGCCACTTTGAAACGACATAGGGAGCACTGGTCCAACTTGAGCCCCCTGCTGGCCCCGTGCTCCTCACAGCACTTTCACCTGTGAAGTGTAGCAACAGCCCTTTGCTGCACTTCAAAGGAAGAGGCTCCCTTATTGAGGCACCCTGGGGCTGTTGCTACACTTCAAAGGTGGAGGCGCCCTTATCGACTAATCAAATAGTCAATGCAAATTGCATCGACTATTCGATTAACCAATTAATTGAAATTTTACATCCCTACTTCTAGCTAGTTCATCTCATCTGAAAAAGCTCATGATACTATATATATATATATTTTTTTTTGTTAGCCTCTAAAGTGCCACAGAACTACTCATTGTTATACTATGTCAGTGGGGAACCTAGGATTACAACTGTTAATTGACTTAACTAAAACCATACAGTGAGGTAATAGCAGAGCTGGGACAAGTACACATGAAAGCTAATTCTGCCACATTACCTATGCTGCTGCTACTATCAGCCATAATAAAGAGTTTTCTATAGTGCCCCTCGTTGTTTCCAAGCATTTCAACATAAATATCATTGATGGACTTTGTAGAATTTTATAATCATTTGGTTAAAGGAAATTCTTGTTTTTTGTTCTGACCCAGTCGCTTATTTTTACCACTAAACAGCACAGCTCATGCTCAGAAAAATAGGCTCACTCTGAACCTATGCAGAAAGCAACCAGTGGAAAATGTAGGCAGGTACTTTTATAAGCACTATTCAACCCATAATACTTCATTTCATCATTGTAGGTTTGGGAGTTTTAAACTCTTTGAAGTAAATTTGTTGCAAGGACCCTGACTAATGGTTTAAATTGCTGTGAATTAGCAACACGTTTTAAAACCAAATATTCAGATGGCATATTGTCTATAAACAGTAATAAGGATAAGAAAATAGGGGACCAGCACACCCAATTCAGCCTTTTTCCTCTCCTCCTCCTACTCACTCTTGGAGATGTTTTTCTAGCACCAGTGCTGCAGTTAACTTTTTCCTAAGGTTGGTCAATTCAAGTTCCATTTCTCTGTTTCTCGATTCTGTCGCATGTAAATCTGAGGTCAAATCATTGATAGCAGGGATGAAGCTAATGAAACAAGAGATTTCATTGATCTATTTAGGAATCAGTATTGTTGAAGCACAAGTTTATATAATCACTTATTTTCTTGCACGTTACTCAAACTTCTTGTGGGTTTATTCTCAAATAATGGCTAATCTGGTAATAGGTCTGTTTAAACTATTTTACAATACAAATAGCTAAAAATGTCCATAAATCAAGATTTGACAATGTGCATAAAATTCAAAATAGCTTAACATTTTAATTGCTAGCCAATACACATTTACACTGCTGTTTATCTTGAACCATTTCACAAGCTATAAACATGCACTAACTGAACTGCAACTGCTTCTGGGGTGGATGATGCCAGACAGTCTTAGCACACCACACTGCACACCAACTGGAGTAGGAAGGAAAGGAACGGAGGCAGAAAGGGACGTTTTAGCTATTTTTATTAAAAGAGCCAGACTAGACCTCATTTTTGTAAGGTTTCATCTGGGAGATCTACAGAGGATAAACAGCCCAATGCTCCATTTAAATATTTCCAAAGGATGAAGCGTTGAGCAGACCCTGCTAGGTTTTAGGGAATCGAATTTGAAATACTGAGGTGTCCAACCAGTGGCCCTTGAGAATAACTATATGAAGGAAAAATCTATTTGATTATGAATTGAAAATGCAACCCCTGAGTCACACCCTGCAATTGTTCAATGGAAGCCTATGAATCAGCCTCGTCTGTTCAACTATCACCCACTGAAGCTGCCCAAGGAGCAGCTATGGGCCCCTTACCTGCTGTAAGTGCTCAACAACTCCCCTGCTGCCCATTTGCTGCAACACAGGAGTAAGAGTTGAGAGTAATATTAACTACTCCAGGGAAGTGTTCCCTCTAATTTTTCCTAACCCTGCACAGAATGAATTCTTTTATGTGCACCAATGTGGAGTAAGGATGTTACGTATTGGTTAATTGAATAGTCAGGTAGCCTCGTGAATTCTTATTCTATAGCCCCTGGGAGTGGGGCCAGCAACCAGTGCACTCCTGCCTCACTCCCAAGAAGATCCCTGCCACTCTGCGCTGCTGCCACTGTATCAGAGACAGCAGCACGGAGTGCCGGGTGGGAGCTGGTCTGCGAGGGGAGCTGGTCTAAAACCCAGCTCCCGGATCCAGAGCGGGCCGGAACCGAGCTGCGCCGCTGGTCAGCCTGCTAAAAAATGTACTGGCAAGTGGGGGGGGGGAGGATTGCGCGTAGTCTATAGCATTAACCTATACGCTTTTGCTTATCGGTTAATCGTCTACACTTTTACATCCCTAATGTGGAGATAACATGCGACACTTCACCTTCATATTGGTGCACACAAAATTCATGTGGCTGAGGATGGGACCAAGGGGCTCTGAATGTGCAAGGGGGCTCAGGCCTGTAGCAGAGTGTTAGGGTACAGGAGTGTTAGGGCTCTGGCTGGAACTGGGATTGAGGGGCTCAGGGCTGGAGCAGAGGGTTGGGGTACAGAGGTGTGAGGACGAAGGCTTCAGTATGCAGGCTGTTCTAGGGAGAGGGGATTACCCCCCAACCCTCTCTCAATGCAGCAAGTTTGGGCAAGGTGAGAAGCGCCTCTCCACAGACACAGCCAAGGGAGGGGTGCCTGTCCCCCAGTTGCGGCAGGTCCCAGCCAGGCTGGGTGAGGGCCACAGAAGGTGCACCTATCCCCCCAGCAGTAGCAGGTCTGGGGTAGGTGCCCTTTCCCTTGGCCCCAGCACAGAACTGTTGCAGCTGGCGGAAGGGCTCCTCTCCACTGGCCTGATACAGAGGTGCTGTGAAGCTTTGTGCTGGGTTTGATAGGCAGAGGTGGCACTCTGTGCACTCGTTCTGAGCCTCTGCTTGAGGCCTGTTAGGCAGTTGCACACCTAACTGGATGCACAGCTTAGAGCAGGGGTGGGCAATCATTTTTGATGGGGGGCCACTCCAAGATTTTGGAAAGTGGTCAAGGGTCGCACTCTTCCATGATATTAATGGAGGAGATGTGGGGTCTTGCATAAAATTCAAAATAGCTTAACATTTTAATTGCTAGCCAATACACATTTACACTGCTGTTTATCTTGAACCATTTCACAAGCTATAAACATGCACTAACTGAACTGCAACTGCTTCTGGGGTGGATGATGCCAGACAGTCTTAGCACACCACACTGCACACCAACTGGAGTAGGAAGGAAAGGAACGGAGGCAGAAAGGGACGTTTTAGCTATTTTTATTAAAAGAGCCAGACTAGACCTCATTTTTGTAAGGTTTCATCTGGGAGATCTACAGAGGATAAACAGCCCAATGCTCCATTTAAATATTTCCAAAGGATGAAGCGTTGAGCAGACCCTGCTAGGTTTTAGGGAATCGAATTTGAAATACTGAGGTGTCCAACCAGTGGCCCTTGAGAATAACTATATGAAGGAAAAATCTATTTGATTATGAATTGAAAATGCAACCCCTGAGTCACACCCTGCAATTGTTCAATGGAAGCCTATGAATCAGCCTCGTCTGTTCAACTATCACCCACTGAAGCTGCCCAAGGAGCAGCTATGGGCCCCTTACCTGCTGTAAGTGCTCAACAACTCCCCTGCTGCCCATTTGCTGCAACACAGGAGTAAGAGTTGAGAGTAATATTAACTACTCCAGGGAAGTGTTCCCTCTAATTTTTCCTAACCCTGCACAGAATGAATTCTTTTATGTGCACCAATGTGGAGTAAGGATGTTACGTATTGGTTAATTGAATAGTCAGGTAGCCTCGTGAATTCTTATTCTATAGCCCCTGGGAGTGGGGCCAGCAACCAGTGCACTCCTGCCTCACTCCCAAGAAGATCCCTGCCACTCTGCGCTGCTGCCACTGTATCAGAGACAGCAGCACGGAGTGCCGGGTGGGAGCTGGTCTGCGAGGGGAGCTGGTCTAAAACCCAGCTCCCGGATCCAGAGCGGGCCGGAACCGAGCTGCGCCGCTGGTCAGCCTGCTAAAAAATGTACTGGCAAGTGGGGGGGGGAGGATTGCGCGTAGTCTATAGCATTAACCTATACGCTTTTGCTTATCGGTTAATCGTCTACACTTTTACATCCCTAATGTGGAGATAACATGCGACACTTCACCTTCATATTGGTGCACACAAAATTCATGTGGCTGAGGATGGGACCAAGGGGCTCTGAATGTGCAAGGGGGCTCAGGCCTGTAGCAGAGTGTTAGGGTACAGGAGTGTTAGGGCTCTGGCTGGAACTGGGATTGAGGGGCTCAGGGCTGGAGCAGAGGGTTGGGGTACAGAGGTGTGAGGACGAAGGCTTCAGTATGCAGGCTGTTCTAGGGAGAGGGGATTACCCCCCAACCCTCTCTCAATGCAGCAAGTTTGGGCAAGGTGAGAAGCGCCTCTCCACAGACACAGCCAAGGGAGGGGTGCCTGTCCCCCAGTTGCGGCAGGTCCCAGCCAGGCTGGGTGAGGGCCACAGAAGGTGCACCTATCCCCCCAGCAGTAGCAGGTCTGGGGTAGGTGCCCTTTCCCTTGGCCCCAGCACAGAACTGTTGCAGCTGGCGGAAGGGCTCCTCTCCACTGGCCTGATACAGAGGTGCTGTGAAGCTTTGTGCTGGGTTTGATAGGCAGAGGTGGCACTCTGTGCACTCGTTCTGAGCCTCTGCTTGAGGCCTGTTAGGCAGTTGCACACCTAACTGGATGCACAGCTTAGAGCAGGGGTGGGCAATCATTTTTGATGGGGGGCCACTCCAAGATTTTGGAAAGTGGTCAAGGGTCGCACTCTTCCATGATATTAATGGAGGAGATGTGGGGTCTAAGATGAAGGTTGGGTGCAGAAGGGAGTTTGGGGTAAGAGAGTTGGGTGCAGGAGAAAGACTGGAGTCTAGGAGGGAGTTGGGATGGGGTAGGCGGTTGTGACCTATGGTAGGGGACTGGAGTGCAGGGGTTTGGGATGTGACCTAGGGTAGAAGGGGATTGTGATCTGGAGCAAGAGATGGGGATGCCAGATCTGGGAGGAGGTATGGTGCAAGAGGGGGACAGAGGATTTGGGTATATTGAGTAGTGGGGCAGAGAGTTGGGGCAGGAAAGGGCTGGGGTGCCAGAAGCAGGCTGTGGCCAAGAGACTTACTTGCTAGCTGCCAAACTAGTCTGCCTGCCTGCAGAACTTAAAATGTTTCCCAACCTGCCTGCTTGCCTGGGCATGTGCTTCATGAAGAAGAGAGAAGGCATGTTATTCTTGGCTACCTGTTATTCCAACAAGCAGCTCCCATTGGTCAGTTTCTACCAGACACTGGCCAATGGGAATGTGTTGGGGGCAGGGCAGCTCCTAAAACTTCCTCCCTCCCCTCCAGTTTTAAAACAGAAACGGAGCCCTACAGCTGCGTTTCTGCATGACTGCAGGCTGTGGGGCAAGCAGGGGAGCCTGCCTGGGGCTCCCTACTGCCTCCACGGGCCAGATCAGGTGGCTTGGCAGGCCGATTTGGCCCATGAGCTGTATTTTGCCCAGGCCTGGCTTCAAGGGAACTTAGCTTTAGCAGTTCTGAAACTACGGGTCAGGACCCCATTTTAATGGGGTCACCAGGGATGGCTTAGACTTGCTTGACCCCAGAGCCAAAGCCCAAGGCAGAAGGTTTCAACCTTGGGTAACAGGATTCAAATTACAGGCCCTCCTGCCTGGTCCTGAAACCCTCAGGTTTCAGCTTTAGCCCACACCAGGGGTAGTGGGGCTCAGACTTTGGTGATCTTCCCCTCACTCAAGAGGCGGCGGAGCTCAGGCAAGCTCCGGTCCCCCCTCCTAGGGTTGTGTAATAATTTTTGTCAGAAGGATGTTGTGGTGCAGGGAAATTTGAGAACCCCTGGACTACTCCAAGGCCTGCTTCTCTGCTGGCTCTTGGGGTCCCCGTAAGAGCAGCACTGCAACTAGACTGGCTCCCTCTGGGCCTATGGAAGCAGCTAGCAAAGGATGGCTCCTAACCCTCCCCTGCACTGACTCAAGGAATCCCAAGAGGGAAAAAAAGAGAAGAAGCTGGGAATGAGCAGCCAGTTACAGCTTCCCAGTTCTGTATCTAAATTCAGGTAAGAGTAGTCTGCAAAATGCTGTAATTTGTGCCTGCTGGCATGATAGCCCCAAGGGACCATATGCCAGCAGGGGAGAGCTAGAGTGCAGCATCCTTCAACTATTCCCCATCCCCACTCCCGACCTGTTGCCTGCAGCAGAAAGTTGAGGGAGGGAAGGAGATATAAGAAATGGCCATTTCATCTCTACATCCACTGGGAACTCCCCCACCATAGAACTGTGGGTAATTTTCACTCCCTTTGTGCTGTATAAGCAGCACAAAGAAGTTGAAAAGGGCAGAAAATCAGCCCAAGAGAACTGATTGTGGCATCAAAGTGAGAAGGTTGGACAACGTTTTCCCAGACTTCAGAAATCTGTGGGAAGAATTACCTTGCTAGGGAAGTGTCCCTGGTTTCAAGTGCCATCGCACTATCTACCAATGCGTTCAGATAGCTGGTGCCTGCGCTAGAGAGATTGTTGAAGGAAAGATTCACACTCTCCATGAGAAGATCCTGCAGATAGTTGACTGAAAAAAAACACAGAGTTATTTTCATGTAATATTTGTCATAGGTATGCATGGGACCATACAGATACAGAATACAGTCTCTGCTTAAAGGTGCTTTCAGTCTAAATAGATGCAAAAGACTCACTTTAAGATCCAATGTGCTGTGCTCCACTTTGTGTTACATAAACAATTTAAAAAGAGTCCTACAAAAAGTGGAAACCAAGTCCAATTACAGAGAATGATTATAAACAAGTAACACAAGTATCTCAGGACAAAATTAGAAAGGCCAAAGCATATAATGAAATTAAACTAGATAGAGAGAATTAGGGTAACAAGAAAACATTCTACAATTACATTAGAAGCAAAAGGAAAACCAAGGACAAAGAAGGCCTGTTACTCAATAGGAGCGGGGGGAGGGGAGGCCTTAAGCTTTGCAACAGGAACAGCCATAAGCTGGGAAACATACGATGGCGCCCTCAAACATCCCAAACCAGTCACATTGAAATAAGGTAATTTTGGGCTGTTGGAAAGGTGATCCAATCTATTATCTCCAGATAAGTGGAAGAGCCTAGAAGATTTAAAGAAAACTTAGGCTGATTGGTTCCTTGCCAGACAGAAAGCTCTTATCAATAGTTGAGATTATGAAACTTACATTTCTTTATTGTTTTGTCAGTATGGTCTCCACTTCTCTATTGCTTATCTGTATTGTCTCTGTATGGTTCTTTGATTGTTTCTGTCTGCTGTATAATTAATTTTCCTGGGTATAAACCAATGAAGGCAGTGGGATATAATGGGTTAGATAATCATTTTTGCAGTATGTTAGGACTGGTTAGTCAAATTTCAGTAAAAGGACTAGTTAAGGCATAGCTAAGAATATTATTATATAAATTGGAGGCAAACAGGAAGAAAGTTGGAAACAAGAAAAAAGGAAACTGGAATCATGCTTGCTGCATGCATGCTAACCCCAATAAAAATTGGATTGTTTGCATCTCCGGCTTTTGAACAATTACGAGCCTGAAGGGAAGGAAGGAGGGTGCTTCGTTGTGTCCACAAGCCGGATCTGGTGGCATGGTGAGCCATATCCAGCTTGCGGAGGGTATTTTGCCCAGGCCTGCTATAGAGTCACTTAGATGAAGGCACTGTTGCTTAACCTAAAGTTTGAAGCTCCCGGCTCACCTTCTGACTCATATTCTGCAGTCTTCTGTTTCATATCCTCTATCACAAGGGAGACATCCCTGTCTCTGGTTTCATTGCATTCCACAAGCTCATATAAAATATCAACAGTCCGTGAATTCACTTCATATTGCGGAATAAGTTGATCCCCAAATGTTCTTTTTAGCCATAAAGTAACCTGCCAAGAAAGTGGAAATAAAGAAGGTAAATGGCTTAATTTAAGGGAAATTAAATATCATGAAGTGCCAAAGCGACACTTAGAAAAGGCAATGCAGCATTAACGCCTGCAATTAACATGTTAATTTTTTTAAACACATTAATCCTGTCCTGCATTAATCACAGGCATTAATGCAAGTCAACTGACAGCCCTATTTCTAAGGCAAACTGTGGTTCAATGCAGTTCATAGCCAATTCATATTTAAAGCAATTTATAAAACTATAGTTGGTGTTTAGGAAATTCAGTTCCCCCTGCAGCAAGTGATTTCAAATATAGTTTTTCTTCAGCATTCTACTAAAGCTAAATTAGAATTTGTTTTGTCCATGTACACTAGCCATGAAAACAGGTAAAAAAAATATGGCTACTGTTACCATAAACAGCATCATTAATATATTTACCTTGTCAACAGCCCTCTGAAATAGGGGGATGCTACTATTCCCATTTTACAAATGAGGAACAAAGACTCAGAACATCAAACTTCCTGCAAGGAAATTAGGAGAGGGAGAGGAGAAAGAGCTCCACAGGAGCCGGTGCTAGTGGGTGCAGGTGGATGAGCCCCTGATGGTGTGGCTTATTTGGTTAAGTGTCACTAGCATAGACGTGTGGCCAGAGTTGACAAGCTTTTTTTCAGGGATATGTTTCTGGGTATTCTTGGTGTAAAGAACCATTTATCACAAGGTAAGCTTATTTCAGTGGCAAGATAGATTGGAGTGCCCAAAGTGACCATCTATGACGCCACGTTAAGGCTATTTAGCACCTGAGATGCTTACAATTGATAATGGTTTTGTGGAACCTAACTAGAAAACTCAACAAATTTGGGCTATGTCTACACTGGCAACTTCTTGCGCAAGAACTCTTTTGCAAAAGAGTTCTTCTGCAAAAACTCTTCCACAAGAGAGCGTCTACACTGGCATGTGTGCTTTTGTGCAAGCGCAACCATGCCAGTGTAGACGTTCTCTTGCGCAAGAAAGCTCTGATGGCCATTTTAACCATAGGGCTTTCTTGCGCAAGAAATTCATGTTGCCTGTCTACACTAGCCTCTTCTGGAAGAGCTCTTGCGCAAGAGGGCTTATTCCTGAGCGGGAGCGTCAGAGTTCTGGTGCAAGAAGCCCTGATTTTATACATTAGCACGTCAGTTTATTTGCGCAAGAACACCCAGCCACTGTAGACAGGCAGCAAGTTTTTGCACAAGAGCGGCCGCTTTTGTGCGAGATCGCGCCAGTGTAGACACAGCCTCGGTGTTTGCGATCTGCTTCCTAACAGTCTGCTCTGAGGTAGATACGCAGGCTTTTGAATAACTGTAGGTAGCTTTACATCAGCAAGTCACAACCTCCTGACACAGAAGATCTATCTGCATAAATGCTTACGCCTACCGAGGCGGCCAGCTCAGACCTCCCTTAAAGCTCACAGAAGTTGGACTATTTTGAACGGTCTTGTCTTTGTTCTCAACTTGCCCCTTTTTCTTCCTGCGACACAAATACCTGTGTCAATATCAACGGACAATTTCTGGTTAAGCATCATCCATAAGCTACAGGGTTCCTGCCTCCCAGCATCTGTGTGTGTGTGTGGGGGGGGGGGAATAGGTCAAACCAGTCCAGACGGGGGAAGCTTTATATCCTCATAACCACAATAACCTTCTCTCACCTCTTACCCCTCATTGGCCTCTGGAAGTGGAGCCCCTGCATTAGCAAGAGTCTTTCTGCTAAATGCGAGCCCTTTAATGAGGAACAATTTAGAACAGTCATACTTTTCAATATTCCCACAAAATTGTAAACATTGGTAATCCTATTTTAGCTATCCCTGAATTTAATACAAACATAACTGGTGTTGGGTCTCAAATTAAGCAAAATAGGAGCAAACTGTATTTACATATGCACACCCAAGATCTCTTCCCACTGCTAGCTAGCTGTAAGGGATGCATTCATTCAGATCCTGCTTACATTTAATTCTGAAGACGTTTTTTAACTGATTCAAATTGATGAAAAGAGGAGCTCTTAATCACACCTAAGGGTATGGGTATAATTGCACTTTATGATAAATAATAACGATGCATCTTGCGTACTTAGTATACACTTCAAGGAAATATGCCTCTAGTGTGCCACTTGTATTGAAAAGATAAAAATCGATCCCTAAACCACGCCCACAAAGGGACTGGCAAGCCTGTTGACGTGGGGAGGGAGCAAGAGGTTCTGGACTGTGAGCCTCTGTCAGCAGCCAGGGCACAAGTCTTGGGCAGCCTGGAGCAGGGATGTTGCAGAAATCACAACACCCCATGTTTACGCAGGTGTTGCAGGAGGAGAGAGCCCCAGCAACAGAAGTTGCTGGTGGCTCAGAGTGGAGCAGGCCAACAGGGACAGGGGAACAGCAGAGCACACGAGGCAGTTTGCAGGGCAGGAAAGCCAGCTTGTGGGGGCAGTGCAGAGGTCAGCAGTGCAGCTGGGAGCTCGGGTGGGGTGGTGGGACTGCCATGAGGTTGGTGGAAACACCCGGAGTTCTAGCGGGGCTACCACAGCTTATGAGGCTTGGAGACTGGGAAGAGGAGTCCTGGTGGCTGGGGAGAGGAGCCCAGCAGGAAGGCTGGCACCTCCACTCTTAGACATCCCCTGGTCTGGAAAACTCCCTTGTCAGGTACCGCTCAAGTTCCAAGAGTGTTGGACCAGGGAGGTCCAACTTGTAGGACCATCACAATATTAGGGACTTTGTCTTATATATGCAACTCCCAGCCACTCAAAAAAGTGTTACAATTTTTCACACTTGTTATGTTGTCACCAAAAGTGGCATGCTGTTCAGCATCCCCTATCCGTGATAGCAGCGAAAACCACATCCAGTTTTTTCTTGGTTCCAGAAAGGGACAAAACCATGGAAAAAGAGGACTGGCCAGCTTCAAACCAGATGAATGGCGGGTGTAATGTTGCAGAACGGTACATTGTCTATGAAGACATTTCCACTCTATGCACATTCCCTCTTGGTACCTTCACTTGGTACAGTGGAAATAGCCTTGATGGCTAAATTTGTATAGAACAGCCAATCCCAAACTTTCAAATAATCATTAGGCCCTGAAACATCAAGAAATTTACTTAAAATCCAGGAAACTATTAAAAAATAGTATTTATGTACTTGTTATTTGCCTCTAAGTTTTAAAATCTTTAAGGTGGTCTCAGCTCTTTCAGGCTTTTTACTAGCAATCAATAGTGTAGGCACTGTATAGCGTGTGCGCATGCACACACATCTATCGTATGTAAGTACATACACAGTTTGTGTGCATGCACATGTGTGTCTATGTATTGTGTGTGTGTATATGTAGAGCTCACAGACCCTGGTCCTGGACAGGAGAGATTAAACCTATGACTTCAAGGGCTAAAGCCACGTTCTATGGCTTGAGATAAAAGCCCACAGGTTCCCTGTTAAGGCTGTAGAGCAGAATTCACTCTCCCTTGTCAGTGGTCTCAGTGCCTCTGGGTTGCATACACATCTAGGGCTGCGTCTAGATTTGCAAGTTTTTCTGCAAAAGCAAGTGCTTTTGCAGAAAAACTTGCCAGCTGTCTACACTGGCCGCTTGAATTTCCGCAAGAACACTGACTTTCTACTGTCTGAAATCAGTGCTTCTTGCGGAAATACTATGCTGCTCCCGTTCGGGCAAAAGTCCTTTTGCGCAAAGCTTTTGTGCAAAAGGGCCAGTGTAGACAGCTCAGATTTGTTTTGTGCCAAAAAAGCCCCAATCGAAAAAATGGCCATCGGGGCTTTTTTGCGGAAAAACGCGTCTAGATCGGCACGGACGCTTTTCTGCAAAAAGTGCTTTTGCGGAAAAGCGTCCGTGCCAATCTAGACGCTTTTTTCCGCAAATGCTTTTAACAGAAAACTTTTCCATTAAAAGCATTTGCTGAAAATCATGCCAGTCTAGACTAGCCCTAGAGGAAAGCAGAAGTTCGTAATGTTAACTCCAGGTTTGACCAGCATGCACCGTGAGAGCTGGTGACTGCCTGCCAATGCAGAAGGGCACTGGCGCGTTGGCTACAGGGCAGCGCTGCCCTCTGCCAGCCTTGCCTGACCTTTGCCTGCCGGGGGAAGGGCACCCGCCTCCACTCAAAGTGGGCGGGGCCATTTCAAGAGCAACGGATTTTTTTTTTTTTTTTACAATTCCAAACGGTGTTTTTTTAACACTTGGAACTAGGCAGCGCCCCCCAAGGGTGACAAAACCCCGAAACTGTGAAAGAAAACGAATTAGAAATCGCTCCGGGGGAGGGGCCGCAAGAAACGCTTCCGGGTCAGGGCCTGCGCGGGTTCGCTTGCGGCGGCTGCAGGGGGCGTGACCTTCCCGCGGAAGGGGCGGGGCGGCGGCGGCCATTTTGTGCAGAGTGTGCAAGGCGCCGGCGGCAGCAGCTGTAGGAGACACCCCCGCGTTCGTCCCCTCAGCCCAGCAAGATGCTCTCAGTCCGCGTGGCCGCCGCGCTCGCCCGCTCGCTGCCCCGGCAGGCCGGCCTAGTGAGAACGCGCCGGGTGCGGGAGAGTCGGGGCGGAGCCGCCGCCGCCATCTTGGAGTCCGGGCCTGGGGTGACATTGAGCGGGACCGGCAGGGGGGGCTGCCAACTCCCCCAGCCTGGGGCCGGGCCCCTCGCTTCCGCCTCTGGACGGTGCTGCGGGGGCTCGGCGCCTGCTGCGGGGAGACGATGTTGGGGGGGCTGGGCGGTCAAGCACAGGGCTGAGCCCCGGTCCCCGTAGCCCTCGGGTGCGTCCCTTTCCCAGGCTGCTCCTTGTGCGCTGGGCGGCCAGCCCCCTGGCGAAGCCGAGGGCTGCTCCCTCCCAGCCCGGAGCAGGCGGCTTGGGAGCCTCGGGGTCTCCGTGCGGGTTGGGGTGGGGCTGCCCGGTATCTCCGAGGCTGCTCCGCCCCAGGCAGTGACCCTGGAACAAGGTGAGCGGGGATGGGGGTAGCTTCCCCAGGCTGACTCTCCTGGCACTAGCTTGTGTTAATGGTGTGTTGACGACCCGTCCTCTGGAAGCCTTAGCACTGCTGCGCTTTGTCCAGTCTGCCTTTGTGGTGCTATTGTTGTTGTCCTTTACCCGGACTCGTGGTGCAAAAAATAAAGTTATTACTCCCAACGTGCTGTGCTATCACCTTGCTTAAAGCACTTCTGGAAGGTGTTGCATACTACTACAGCGATAAGACAAGCATAGTTTTAGAATGGCAAATGTGTTAATCAATAGAAGACCTCTATTTCATAGCCTACTTAAGTCAGTGGGACTCTGCACAAGCTATACCTTGGAAGCAACTTGTGACACTTGATAAATTAGCTGTTGTTTCTGTTTGGAAGTCTTGTATATGTGGGTAGCTTTCAAATGTGCTGGTGTCCTTTAAAATATGGCGTCCTTGCATGTTTTACATAGCAACTAGAAACCCAGAAGAAATTTGATTCTTCAAACAATGCTTTTTGCTATTTTAGGTTTCCAGAAATGCCCTGGGTGCAACATTTGTTGCTACAAGGAACATCCATGCCTCCAAAACCAATCTTCAAAAAGTTGGTGAGTCCAAAGAAACATATTAAAATGATACATGCTGTTCATGAATATATACAGGTTCACATCTGCTAACCAAATGTCAGTATTCATAGCAAGTAGAAAGAAGACCTTGCCAAACATGTTCGACACTTCATTTTGTAACAGGGTCTCCCATCTTCTCGTCCTATGGAAGTTTGTTTATATCAAACTAATTTAGAAGTTTCACATCTTCATATCTGTATCTTATTTTTTGAGTGACCCGGTCAATTGTCAATGTTATGCTCAAACTAGAGGGAGTAGTATAGTAGTCCTAAGCATCAGATCAAGTATACCTTGAACTGGAGGTT